AGTTGACCCACCAAGGAGGCAGTTGCAGGAAGTAGTGACTAAATCTGATTGGTTAAAAGTTGACCCACCAAGGAGGCAGTTGCAGGAAGTAGTGACTAAATCTGATTGGTTAAAAGTTGGTTAAAGAGCGCAGAGCTCCGCCCCTTTCCTGCAATTACCAGTTGCTCAATACTTCTGTAGAAAATCTGTGATAAGCTTTTGATTCGCTTATTGAGCAGCCTTGATACGACAGGTCACTGAAGGGCAGAAAGGAAGCGGCGTGTCAGTCAGGTCAGTGTTTTATTCTTTATTCTATTCAGTTTTTAAAGCAGCCTCAATAACCTTAAATGACCAGCTGTTGCTAAGCTAGCTTCGAGCATGGCCTCTTCTGTGATAAACAGGGCGTTGATTTTATTTACACCTCGATGCTGCAGCCTTGCTTACCTTTATTAATATTGACAAACGTCCAGCTGTGAGGTTATAGTGAAGATGGAAACGTTAATTTAAACAGTTAGCCACAGGAATAAGTCTGTTTCCTCATCTGGGCTAAAGTTCATTGACCACAAAGTGAAAGCCGTGCAAGGGAAACCTTTGAATGTCCACAAGTAGTTAGAGGTGATTTATATTTGTTAGAATCAACGATTTTACTCCAAACATGTGGTAATATCCTTTCAGATAGGTACTTTAACCATGTGGTTATTTTGTGAAACAAAAAACAATCTCAGTTTTTAACATTTACCTGTGTTGATTTTCTCCAACAAAAATGTACTAACAAAGTTAATTAAAAAGAAAAGCTCACTCAAACCACATAAAAGAATTTATTTTTTATCAAGAAAAATAATTTTCAGTCTATGATTCGTTTTTATTGTTACTGTTTTTTTGTGTTAAAAGTTTTGGGTAGAGATGTACTGATCAGATTTTTTACTGGTCTTAATATTACCTGGTTCTGTTTGAGGCCCTCATATAATTTCCAGCCTATAATTCCCATTCAAACCTCAGGCTGCTGTAACACAGACAAAATCATTTGTGTAAACATATTGGTTAGGTTCTGTGATTAGATATAAGAAACATTGGTAATACAATAATTTTATGTGCTGCAGGTTTTTTTGGTTAGGGTAGTTTCAAACCCCTAGAAAATTGAAAAATTAAATTATCTGATTATCTCCATGTATGCATCTAAACCATGAGTTTCTGAAGTTCACTTAATATTCACATCTTTTAAAGCCTACATGTGTTAAAAGAACAACTGTTGCTGTGTTTACAGCAAGAAAATGTAGAAATACTTTAGCTTTTGTTAGAGATGGACCGATACCTCTGCCGGCCAATATTTTTGGCTGATATCAGCCTTTTTTTCTGGTATTGGCTGATACCTCTCTGCATTTGCCGATTCATAAATGTATTCAGCAGCCATGCCCTGAGATCATGTGGACAACACACATTGCTGCTCCCTTCTTTAGCTATCCATTGGTAATGTTTTGTTTGATTCGTTTATAAATGTTTCTTTTTCTGCTTAAACTAAGACTTGTGTAACAAAAAAGCAATATTTGTCCCAAAAGTATCATAAATCTAGGATCAGTTAGTCTGATGTCAAAATTAGGGCTGAAACAATTGATAGGATTAATCACGATGAATTGATTTCTGAAATAAGCGTAAACTAATTTAGTAATCAAATCATTGTTAACTGGAGTATAGAGACTCAAAAATATGCCTTTAGCTGACAGAGCAACTAACTTAGGGCAATAAGTATACGAAAATTGTAACAAAATCTATAAATATTTTGGATTTAAGGTAAAAAAAAATAAAAATTAACTATCCTGAACTCAACTGGAAAAGTTTTAGTTTTACCTGATTTAGTTCTGTAAAAAAAACCTCTTTAAGGAACTTTTTGCCATCTGATTATTCATAATTAGTAAATGAATTAACAAAATAAAAATTAGCAACAGCCACAGTTAAAATAATCAGTATTGGTATCAGCCTTAAAACAAAAACCTGTATCAGTCATTCTCTAGTTTTAATGCACTCATTGAATAGAAAAAAATTATATTTTTCGGTGTCTGACCTGTTGATCACAGTTACCGGTACTCACAAGTTGAGTGACATAAATTATATTTTAATTGATTAGTTTATATTTTGTATTAAACACTTGCCAAATATGAAAAGAAAGAAATAGCCTTCTGGTTTGTATGTTGTTTTTTTCTTTGTCAGCTCATCTTAAACCAGTTCCTGCCTCTCTAACTCTTTGGTCCTGGTGATACTTGGGCTGCCTCTATTGCTACTCAGGGATTCTCTTCATTCATTATTTATAAGTTATCCCTGCACCAACTAACCAAGACTTAATGAACAATAATGAACCAGGAACAAGTGCTAGTGGCTACCTATACTACAGTAAAGAGCAGATCATTTGAGATTTTAATTAGGGAATGATCATTAAAGAGAGTTTCATAATCACTGCCATAACTTAGCAAATATCTTAATAGCTCTTGTAATCTGCACTGGCCCTATTATCAAAGGTCATGTGGAGTGTAACCATTTTCTTTTGATAGGGTAGGTTTTTAAGCACCATGAGGATCTTTAAGTCTTTTTTTTTTTTTTTTTTTTTAAACAGGAATCAGTTGTCAGTGGGCTGATTATTTATGGACAGACCCGTTTGCAAAGCATATCTTTTCTGCCATATCTCAGAAGTTATCTCAGGTTTATCTTGTGCTCGACTTCAGCCCCAATAGCCAGACTTTGCTTTATGATGAAGACTGAAGATGTCACCAGCTGACACTTGGAAGAAGGCTTGTTGCTCAATGAAGCTGTTGCAATAAATTGCAATCTTCCTTCACATAGAGCCCAGAAAGGAGGCTGGAGTGCAACAGTTTTGTGAAAACATCAGGGGGAATATTTCATTCCCTTTGACATCTAAAACATCTGAAATTATTAAACAGCGTCTCTTTATAAAATCTGATGAAGTTTCTTGAAGCACAGTTGGCTATCTCTTTGAACCTTTCCTCCTGTCAGGTGGATGAAACTGTTATTTTTTCTTCAGTCTTATTGCAGCTTTCAGCCGGTCAGCCCTCTTCTGCTGCTGGTGGTTATATTTTTCCAGTAGCTCAGTCTCATACTCTTGTCCTTCTGTGACTTATTTGTCAGATACATCAGGCCATGCCTGTCGAGCAGCTGTTACCAGTGTCCCGAGACAGGTGAAGACAGGTTGAGTCCATTTATGCCTCTGTGTGCCATCTGCTAGAGCAAAAAACAGATGTCAACCACATGTTCTGTAGACTAGACATACATAGAGTGGGATGATGCAGGAGATGCTTTTCTCTTTTTGTTGTGTTCTGATACTTTTGGGAGGAAGAAAGTGGAAATGAATCAACGGGAGGAGTTTTGTACTTTTATTGGTTGGGCCACGAGTCGAATGCATAAACTCCAATAGCTTTTTCTGGTGGTGTTTGTTATAGAAACACTTTTATAAAAAGTAATCTGCTCCTAAAATGACATCTCCTTGTGCTGTCTTGAAGTAGGGGTACAGTGTAGGAGTACTAAGAGAAAATAGAGCTTAATTTAATTTCATGTGTTAGTCATCATCATCTAAACGAACGTCCGCTGATCAAATATGGACTAAGTGAGCTTTGTGTAGCCTTTTGTTCTATTAGTTTAAACAAAAATATAATTTTTATTGTGTGTTCTAGCTTTTTAAAGACCAAGGATTAAGAAAAACATACAACTGGAATATTTTGACTTCTGGAAAGCTTTCTAAACTTTTGCTCTGGTCCTGAGAGCAGATCTCAAGCTGTCACATCCTGTTTCATTTATTGTTGGGCTCTCTTCTACTGTATATATTTTTTTAAACTACTACTTAAACCATTTCTTCTTTCTGTATGAAAGACTTACATTTATTTCCGGGATTCACAATATATCAACTTTAATATGATTATCAGCCAAGGTTTGTCATTTTTAAACATATTGGTATAGTCCAAAAGTAAAATTAGGTCGATAATAATGAACAACATTCATTTCCATGTAGGTAGGGGGTTGGTCATTTAGTATTTGTTTGGTCATGTGACTACTTATGATGCAGCTCTGGACTGTGAGTGTTTACCTGGAGCAGAGAAGCGATGTCAGTGCTGTGTTTGGTCTATTATGGTGTCCAAACAGTAGAGAAATATTTGGTAAAACGGCAATACTGTAATTAGATATTGTTATTGGCCCAGATTTTCATATCAGTGCCTCCCTATTTTTTGTCTTTAAATGTGAGACTCATATCCAGGAGTATATCTCAGTAGTATCAGTTTTTTTATTAAAAGAATATGGATATGCAAAGTCAAGAAGAAAATAAAGTTCAACATTTTAAATCTTCAAATACTCACTTTTATAGCGTTTCTTCTGCCAGAGCAGAAGTAGCTCCGTTGTGTTGTTTTAAACCGGTTTCATCCTTGTTGCGTCACTTTGTTGACTAATGGGTTTAACATGACTGAGCGTTCTTTATGCGTGCGTTTAAACCATCTGACAGGACAGTTATTCCTGCAAGATGAAGTATATCTGCCACTTTAACAAAGACTTCCAGAGCAGCAGCAGTGTTTCATCATGCACTCAGAGCAAAGTGAGGTGAATCTCAATTTCTAACTCTCCGTATTCCATGTCAGAGATTGAACCCAGCAGTCAAAATGGCAGACAGCGGGAAAACTAATGAGGCTGGAGCTGCAGCAACTGAACCAGCTAATGGAGAGCAGCAGGTGAGGAACACAGAGACCCACAGTGACACCTAATAGAAATTAGAATTCATTTTACACTTGTACCATGTTTAAAAAAAAAAAAAAAATAAAAAAGATAAGTGATGGTACTTCCAAAAGGTAGTGAAAGCATATGAAATAAGAATTGTTCCACAAAACTGTGTTTCACCATTTTTAAAAGATCCTAAATATTACTTTCTGGTCGCAGAATGTGGTTGCCAGAGTGAGCCACTTGCCATTGGTCAGTTCAGCCTGCGAGGCCGTGTCCAGCGCTTACAGTAGCACCAAAGACAGCGTCCCCATGCTGAAGGGGGTGATGGATGCTGCGGAGACTGGGGTCCGAACACTGGGAGCAGCTGCAGGCACGGGGTCCAAACCTGTTTTAGACATGATCGAACCACAGCGTAAGTTTCCTCTCTCTGCAAAGTGTGATGTAACGTGTGTGCAATAAACAGTCCTCTGAATTCTACCCTTTAAATAAATGGGAAGCCAGTTCTGAAGGGAAAAGTGTGAAATGAGCGTGAGGTTGGATTATGGCCTCAGGGCTACATGATCATCTTAGAAATGTATCTGGGAACAAACTATCCTCCTATTTCACAACATGCTTCTTTGAAGCCCTTTGCTTCTCTTCGGTTAACACTAAACTGTACTTGTTCACACTAAATTCAGAGTAAATATTTTCATATGCCTGCAACTATATTGACTCCTGTGATTTTTTTTATTTTTTTTTTTTCCAAGTGGGTTCCTCTGCTTTGTCATTTCAGTCGCCATGGTGAATGAGTATGCCATGAAAGGTCTGGATAAGATGGAGGAGAAGCTGCCGATTCTTCATCAGCCAGCTGACAAGGTCAGGGAAAGCCTTTTTAAATAACTGTTGTTTGTCTCCGGTTCTTCTTCTTCTCCTCTGAACAGACGGGTTATAAAGCAAGGCACATCATTATCCCCCGAGGCTGTAGGGGAAACTACATGTCAAGGCTTGGATGCACCTGCACTGAATAGTATGACGGGGCCTTTAAGGACTTAGAATTGCAGCTCAGTTTGTTTAAGGACCTGTGGAAAACTTTAACCAATTTCCTTTTGCTAGTGTCTGTGTGGTCATTGTTGAAGATGCGCTTTCAGCTTAATATCTTCCTTTTTGTCAAGATGGTCTTGTAGTTCATTGCAGATGTGTTTGCTTGCCCAGCTGTATGGTCCAAACCAGCTAAACCCCTCAGATAGTAATGGTCAGACATGCTGTTGATCTTTTCTTTAACAGCGTACAATTAGTAGCAATTTGTCCTTCTTAAATCTGGTCAATTATGCAACAGTGTTCTTTGTCCCATTTCACTTTATTTTTGTTTAAAATTGTAAATTACAATTTAAAAACTGTTTTGTGCCTTTTGTGCTCTTAATGTCCCTGTAGCTGGAACACCCCCTTTTTCTGTTTCTGTGATGAACAAACTTCTTTTAAAAAGATTTGCAGTTTCTTTAAGTGTTGTCACTCTAATCTAGTGTTTGATTAGTATTAACAGTGGTGGCCTTTTAATTTTATTTTTATTGATGCACATTTGAAGCTCTGGTGTTTATCTCTATTAGCTTTGTATACCCGTTTCAATCATTTTTTTCCTCTCTACAGGATGGTTACTTATTGGTGCTCCTTTTTAATTTGTCATGATGATGACCCATCGCCCTAACCTGATATCCAGAGTGGTTTTGTTGAGGAATCCTTGTATTTTGCAGCTCTATCCTCTGTGCAGCCCATCAGTGCTGTTCCTGCCACAGAAAAATATTCCCACAGAATGACCCTCTTACACTCTCACCACCATGCTTCTCAGTGGGAAGAGTGATAACTAGGTGATAGGCAGCACCTATCTTTGTGACTTTTGGCATTTTCAAACATCAAGCTTGGGATGCTTCTCAGATAATTTTGTTTGATTGTTTTTTTCTTTTTCCTTGTCTGACAACCTCTGAAATTTGGTCCCTGACTTTGTAGTTGGGTTGAGTCGCCAGATCTAGGAAGGGGTCTTAGTGATTCTAAAATTCTTCCATGTCCTATTAATTGAGACCCAAAGGGCTTTTTGGAAGTGTTTGTTCAAAATGATTACCTTTCCTTAGAGATCAGATAAATCAAAGCATAACTCCTGACAGTCAACAAACAAATCCTTTGCCTTGTTTGGCATAGTTTTATTTTGTTTTTTTTCTATTTGTCTCATTGACAATATTTAGGAAAAGTATGTTTGATCCAATTAATGTTTGATCCTCTAAATCCATCGCAGGTTGCCCCCAACTTGCAGAAGAATCTGATTCATGGGTTTGCAACCTGTGATAAAGAACCAATTAATGTTAAAGTACAAATAATATAACACATGTTGCAGGTTTTGTTTTTTCCCTATTTCCATTGAAGAACTGCTCTGAACTTAAACTAATGAGTGAAGAATGAATCTGCTGGATTATAATGTTTTGCAGAGCCATGATCGAAGGGGTGACCACAAGAAATAAGAGGCACATGCAGTCAATTTTGAGTTCTGTGTGTGAATATCTATTTACCTGTTTATTTTTTTTAAGTCAGTTACTTTTATTTGTAGATATCAAGAAAACTCAACTCAGGTGTGAGTGTAAAATATTATAATAACCGTTGAATGGGGTGTGAATACTTTTATTGTATAACAGTAATGTTTTATTTGCGTCCTGCTTATATTTTGCTATCCATATTTAATTTCATCTTTATTAGTTTACTAAGTATGTGAATAAATGGCTGACCTTCTCACTGTGTTTCTTTAAGTTCCTCAAACAGGATTAGTTTCCTTTTTTCAAATAGAAGCCCTAATGGGTTTAACATGCTTTAAAATCCCATAATCTATAACACCTTGCCTCTTCATTACTCCCCCAGGTGGTGTCAGACACTGTAGGGATGGTGTACCAGTCAGTAGCAGGGGCCAAAGATGCGATGCTGGGCGCCATGATGAGTGGAGTGGAGCTGACCCGGGCAGCGGTCAGCGGAGGTATCAACACTGTCATGAGCACCAGGATGGGCCAGATGGTCAGCAGTGGGATGGGCCTGGCCCTCAGCCGATCTGAAGACTGGGTTGATCACAACCTGCCACTTACTGAGAGGGAGCTGGGTCAGTATAAATACTAAATAAAAGAAGTCTGAATATTTCATACGTTTATAGACAGCAGCAATGACCCCACATGTCTGGCCATGTAGAACTAGAGAACTGATGGTTTAACGCAACAGCAAATTAATGTAATAAATAGGACTGTACATAGGATGGGGTTTTAATGGAATCAAATATACTGCAAGCTGATGTCATGAATGGTTAGGTGCTATTCATAGAGAGGAAGTCAGGGCAATGCAGTGAGTTTACCTTCTGTTCTCTTGGCTCAAACGGTGGCTTTAATTTCCAACACTCAGAGCTTTGACACCTGCTACTGTGACATCATGCAATTGTGACATCCTACAGTACTCTAGGCAAGCAGGAACGCTCATGGAAACATCAATTGAGGAGTACAGGGACACTAGTTAAACTAGGCTGTTTTGAAGGCTACATACATGCGAACAGGAATGGTGTAAACATCAGACTTTTACGTATACGTTTGAATGTTTCATATTGGTGTGGTATTACACATCAAACCACCTCAAAAATTTTAAAAGAAAATTAAATGAATTAAGATTATTCTCAAACCCACAGAAGTTGAACTTGCAAATTAAAGTCCACATATATACATACACCACTACCAGTTTTGGTTAATTATTAGCGAGCAGGTTAGAAAGGAATCGAACACTTTGGTTGCCAACGATAAGCCTGTGGCATAATTCATAGTGGTAATCTAACCAGTCTTCTGATTATAAATGATTGGCCTCAGTCTTCAGGCTCATTATCCTGTTTGAACCCACGGCTGTGGTTTGGTTTCAATCACCTAGCTGTTAATTCTCCTCTGTTATTCAAACAATTTTCTGTGATTAAACTAGTGTTGTTGCGTGTGCAGTCCCTCCAGATGTTACTTGTATTTGCTGTGATCAGTGGGAATAAAGTAGTTTTATTATGTTTTTAAGTGGGAAAATCCACCTGAAAATTTAATCAATGCAGTCAGTTCATCCAGATTACCATCCTGCCTTCCATTATTTCTGTCGGAGCCGCTCAGACCCCCACATACCTGCGGTGCGCTGTCAGTAGGAATCCCATTCAACGGGCTTGTTTGTCTCCTGAGAAAGCAGACATGTTAGTTTTTCTAAAGAAAAACTACTTAGTAAAAAGGTCCTCACAATGTAACGGTGAATATTAGACACAGACTTGTGTGCAACTGTTCTTCTTCACTGAAAAAAAAAATGTTTTTATGTAAGAGGAAAAATGTAAATGGAAAAATCAGAGCTTAAAAAAAACTCAAGATTTGTACTTTATTATGTTGTGTAATTTTCTTTTTCTTCGAATTGATATTAAAACTGGTATCGAAAAAAGTATCGTTCAGGAACCGTTATCGAAGTGAAGGTATTGGTATTGGTACCGGCACGGAAAATTTTTGAACGATACTCAGCCCTAAACGGGGGTGAGTATATCGTTTTGATCTGTGTCAATTAGAAGAATTCTCTATTTTTTTATTTATGGATTTAAGTTGTTTGATCCTAACTTGGAAAGAAGGCTCCAGGTTTATGATCAGGATGGTAACCCTGATCAGATGTACTTTAAAGCTTCTTAAGCGGCAAAACTTTGGTACTCTACCAGAGAGTTTTGTAATTGTTATGTTAATTGAAAATACCCTCAAACTATTTTGTCTGTTAAATGCCAGTATGTATTTGCATGTTTGGAAAAATAGCAGAATGTCAACATTTACATTATATAAGAAATGAGATTTGTCTGCTTCCTCAATATGATCGGATTTAGAATATTATCATTATTGTGTCATTATTTGTAACCCAACATGTTTATCCCTTTCACAAACAGACATGTGGGTATTCTGTGTTAAAGAAACAGGCCCCAAAGAAGACTGTTAATGCAATAAATATGACAACTGAAACCACAAATACTATAAATGTCATCAATTGTAATGATGACTTATGAGGATTGTTTTTTGTTTGTTTTTTTTTGTTTTTTGGTTTGGAAGCATACATAGCTTAATTAATGTAGTCTATTAAACTAAAGTAATATGCACTTATGGTTATTACATGTCAGGTACGACAGTCATTGACTTTGACCAAGGCACCTTACAGTAGAACTGCAGTCAGTCCCTGGACTGTTATGGCTATCTCTGCTCCTACATAGTTAGGGACAAATGCAGAGGACAAATTTCCCACTGAGATCAGCTTGAGAGTCATGGTAGGACACTTCTTTGATTTTATTTATTTTGCTCAGGCTACTCATAAACCCACAGCCTGCCTAATGTTGAAAGGGCAATATTATTGCCATTAATGTTAATATATACTAGAAATTTTATACATTCAGTAATAAAATGTCACAAGGGATGATATGGGGGGGTGGTTATTTAAGAAGGGGGATGATTTTTAAGATTTTTATTTTTTTTTTTTAAGAATAGGGATGCAATCCCCCCTTAACTAAAGTACTGCCTATGCTAAGCCAAATCTATTACTGATTTCCCATTACCCTGACTATAGCTACCTTTACAAAGAAGTCGCATCTGAACACCTGAATAGTTTCACCTTTGATCTTGTTGACTGTTCATCCTAAAGTCTGCTTTGTGACTGAAATTGGGCTGGAAAGATCTGACTATGGTTCCTGGAAGAAAAACTCCAATGTGTTTCAAATAAAGAGGTTGGACTAGTACAGCACAACCTTGTTCTAAAAAAAGATTGTGATAGTGTGCAAGAATAATGGCTACAATTGAAGGTTTTATATTGCATGCATTTAGTCGCTGCTGTGGGGATATTAAATCTGCACTGCTTGGTCTTTAACACTGTTAAAAATGTAATTTGGAGTACTAATGTCATGGTTATAGCCAATAAATTCAGCATATGACTCAGATAATTTCATTTGTCTTGCAGCTGCTGTGGCTGAGCCTGCCAACTTGGAGGTGTCAACCGCTTCAACCAGCCCTAGTTACTTTGTCCGTCTGGGGAAACTCTCTGCCAAAGTGCAGGAGCGAGCTCTGGAACAGTCTCTGGTCCGTGCACGGAAGGCCAGGGATGCTACTTATGCAGCGGTGGCTCAGATTACCAGCACCCTGGACCTGGTGGAGAGTGCCCGTTCCAGTCTGGGTACGGCTGGTAACCAGTTAGCAGGAGCCTCAGAGCAGCTGCTGCATCGCTGGGCTGAGTGGAAGCAAAAAAAGGAGGGAGAGGAAGCGACTGAGTCAGAACCAGATGAGTCCAAACATGAGCCTGAGGTCAGGATTTAAACCATTATGGGTATAATTTTTATGAAAATTTGTATATATTTTCTAATTTTACATGTTCATTAGAACTAATTTAAGAAAATGTACATCCCATAATACTAATGCTTACTTCCTTATTTATTTTAATACATTTGCTATAGTAAACTTTGCAGCAGTATTGCATAAAGAAATGTTATATCCTCTTTATGCTTACAGGAGCTGGAGACTCGGGCCCTTTCTATGGTGCAAGGCCTGAGTGACCAACTAAAGGCGTCATGCTCAAGCGTGGTGTCCAGTGCTCAGGGTCTGCCAGGGACGGTCCAAGAACAGTTGACCAGTGCTCGGTTAGCCGCTGAAGAACTACAGTCCTCCCTGAGAAATGCCAGCAGCCTAACTCCGGTTCTGCTAGAGCGGAGCCGCCACCATCTAAAACAAGTACAAGTTTCTTTCAAGTACTTTTTAATTTTTTTTTTTCATGCATCTGCTTAAGAGAATTTAAATGGGGGGCCTCGTTTATTGATCATGGCTGTTTTTATTTGCTTTATATGTTTAGGCCTTCTATTTTACAGGCATATGTCAGACTTTCATCAATTAGGTAGTTTTTTTTCAGTAGTCCACATTAAAAGTTTGATATAGTATATATTTATCACCCTAAGTAATATGTTGAAGAAATTACTGCTGACTGAATAGTAAGTATATATACTAATCTAAATCTACTCATTTCTTTGTAGCGCTTTTTTTAGATGAGTTTCAGTGCTGTTTAAAGGTGCTGATCAGTCTGTGGTTCCTCTAAGATGTCTAGGAAAACCATCCATCCATTATCTGACACGCTTGTCCCAGATGGGGCTGGTGCTGGTGCCTATCTCCAGCAGTCAATGGGCGAGAGGCGGGGTACACTAGAGGTGTAAATCACATCCATCATGGCGATTCGATTCAGTATCGATTTCTTGACCCAACGGTTCGATTATTTTCGATACTCAAGAATACACCACGATACGATTCGATTAATCGGTTAATTCTTTATTTATTTATTTTTTTTACACCTTACAGGCCAAACAAAGTTTCAAGTTTGAAATAAATCAATGAAAGCTGTAATATCGTTATGCATTTATTTTTAGAAACAACAGCAAATAACAGAAGTAGAAAAGTTGCATCAAAAAATACTGCA